GGGTAAACACAGCCGTTTTATTTGCTCATGTGAGATGATCTGCAAATCGGGCGTTACTTTTGGTGGCTACTGTACATCAGACACCGTGCAATAAATATGGTTATTACCCGTAGTGCACTGACTAAAAGACCCGGGATCTAATATAAAATACCTGAAAAAAAAACTTATAAGATACCCGGGGGTATTTTGACTGTCACTGGGCCAAAATTTTTTGAATTTTACCAGAATTACATAATTTTACACCATATATCATACCCGGATATTTTACAAGGGGTCTTTTAGTCAGTGCACTACGGGTATATGGGTTATAGAAGATAACTAATTAACCTATGCCTTCGGTCAAGTAACGGCTAACCTGTACAAATTTAGTTATTTTTTTTACAACCCATACAATAACTATGATGAATCTATTATACCAAAATAATAACCGGATCGGCCGAAAAATCATTTGGCTAATTTTTTATAGGTGACCCAGGAATTATGAAAACAGCTGTAACCCAGTTTTCAGTTCAACTTCCACTCGAGTGACTAATAGCTCACCCGTAGGGTGTTTCCACCCGGGTGACTTACGGCTCATCCGTCGAGTGACCTGGGTGGAGATTTTTTTAGACGGATTCAAACACTAGTATATTGCCATTCAATCCTCAAAATAATGCCTATGAGAGCTATTTTACGCCTATACAATATTAATTGAAAAAAAAACACTACTAACATGTCTAGTTTATAATAAATAGTTTCAAGATTACTGTATCAAATTTTATAAAAAGACTGACGCGTTTTTTCCAATGATTCACAAAAAAATTACATAATAAGTGCTGGTAGCATTTAAAATTTAATTAATCAATAAGTTACGCTGATATTATATTTATTAAAAATGCGTCAAGAATATAACACAGATTTAGGGTACATCTTAGATCTATCAAAAAAAGTAACACAGATCTATCAAAAGTGAAACTTTGCTTTTGTATAGATTAGTCACTCGAAATTTAGGGTCGGAATAGGCCGGAGCCAGCATTAATTAATAATATCAGCTAGCTACATTATGGCAAAATTAACATTCCGCCTTTATCAATTCCGACCTTGAATTCTGGTCGATCTGCTGAACTTTGGTTGCGCGACTAATCTATTCAAAATTTGAGTATGATCTTGGTGTTTCTATACTTGCCGCCCAAACAATAAATATTCATAAAATCCCAAATTCCAAATTTCAATACTTTGTATTGCAGGAAAAATTTTGATTACATGAATATATTCTGTAATATAATGAATTGTTGTGCGTGAAAAATTTGTTTAGTGCGTATATAGTTATTATCAAGACTAAATTAAATATTCTGGATCTATCAACAATTTTGTTTGTATATATCTAAAAAGTTTGATAAAACAAAAAAAAAGTACTGCTAAAGATTATTATTGGTAATAACTATTTGTTGAGCATATAAAAATCAATAAATATATTATACTATAGATTAGTATAAATAGGTTTAACATATTTTCTTGTGTCTCTTATTAACATTAATATTCTAAGAATACTTTTACAATGTTTATCAAATTTATAGTTTAACAATAAAATATCAAATATGTACAGTACACACAAATAAATAACAAATCGATTCAATATATACAGCCACCTTTCCGCCTATAAAAAAAAACAACTCTTTTTTTATTAGTCAGGAAAAAAAAAACTGGCTAATAATCATAGCTTTCTTCAGAATCAGTCAACTGTTTACCAATATCCAAATGTTCGGATATAGAATCATCATACGAACATTTAGCCCAAATAATTGCCAAGAACACGAAAGTCCATTGGCAAACTAAATTTGCAGCTCGAACTTCACATGCCTGTTTAATCTCCAATGAAAGGTATTCATAATGCGGTGGACAAAAAAATGGAATTTCACCCATTTCATTCCATGTGAAATGGGTGTAGATTAC